CCGCCCTCCCCCCCTCTGTGCCCAACACAGCTCTCCCATTCTCTCTCTCCTATTGTTTTCCACACATCCCTCCCTTCTCCCTTCATGAAAGCTGTCTGGCTGGGAGCTTAAAATATTGCTGGACAGTAAAACCTACCCATCAGGGCCAATCCAGTCGTATCTGCTCAGTCGTGCAGCACCGTAGGGGTGGGGTAGAGAAGTAGGAGGTGGGCTTTTAGGTGTCAAAGGAAAGAGGCCAAAACTGCCATTTTGCTGCTGAGCGCCAAGGGAGAAAGGGAGCGCTTATTTCTCCAGGGGACCCTACTCTTGTTGGCAAGTGTTCTTTGGGTGATATAGTTTGTAGCCTTCCATCCCCTCCCCCCTCCCCCACTTCTTTCCCAGCCTGATCTAAGGGCCATTTCTGGGCTTTTCCAAAAGGGAAAAGGTTGCCACCAAGGTTCGGTCTTGGGTTGGGATGGCTGGATTTAGAGTTCAGTTCTGAAAAGCCTCTTGGAATTGGTCGCAGAGTCAGCAGGGGTGTGGAAAGGAATGTAGGCATGGGGGGGAGGGGAGCTCAAAGATGTCCAAATTCCAACTACGATATTACATTTTAAGGTTTTTTGTTTTGTTTTTTTCATTTTTTCAGAATGAATCAACACACCTCCAGGAATCCAGAGGCACATGTTTCATGTTTATGAAACAGTTTTGCACTTTTTCACTCAAACTGCAATGGGAGTGAGAGTAATAAGTATTCAGTGCTGTGGGTGTCGGGGAGGCTTTGTGCTCAGCATTTTCCATGTGGAAATGTTTCATGGATCACAGGAATGGGTCTGCTAAGAACTGTAAACTCTTCCTGGGAGTAGGTTCTGTTGTCTCTCATGGGAGCTGCTGGCTAAGTGCTCCAGAAACATGGATGGAGGTACATTTATAGTCTCTTACCAACCGGCACCGTAAGTGGCCATCTAAGCCTTCGCGGAGCTTGTTAATACACATATGTATGCGTTATTCTGCCTCTTCAAAGCCAGGAGAAATCTATGCTATACTGGGAATTGCCCTGGGCTTGCTGCTGGACAACAGGGCCCTCACCCCACCTCTGCCCTCACTAGCTGAGCTATCTTAGGAGACTTACTTATCTCCTAGTCTGTCCCCCTACCTGGTAATAGGGGCTGGTATGCCGAGTTCACTAGTCTCAAACATCCATCTGTGGACTGACCTGTCAGTTCTGATCCAAATGAACTTTTTAGCAGCCTATGACAAAAATGTGAAAACGATGTAGTAAACAACATAGTAAATGTTTCACCAAGTTAAGTGTGTTTGGTTTAAAGGCCTATCTTTCATTCTGAAATTATGTGATTTCTAGTTTTGTGGTATTAAAATTCTTCTTTTATGAAATAATGGTAAAAATGGACTGTAGTCCTAGTTAGTGATTTAATAAGTCTTATTTTTATGTCCTTGCTTGGCAAAACGAGAAGTTGGCAGCCCTGTGTTGGTCATCCAGTTTTGTTGTTGTTCTTGTACTAATCTGTGAAATCCAGGTCTGAGAATCACTGACCTAGTTCACAGGATGTTATGAGGACTGAAATAAAATATGTGAAACTATATAATTTACAAATAGATAAAGGCGACCCAAACCTAAGGTGTTATTTTAATCATTACCTAAAACCAGGATCACCTGATGGGATGTTCTGGTGGTTGCCCAGGGGGTGGAAGCTTGAACTCCATGGTTTAGTTCCCATCTGTAATCTGTAAACTTTCATAAGCAAAAGAAAACAGATAACTGCATCTTTGAAGAAGGAAGAGAAATTTTCTTCTAGTGGAACAGTTTGCTCTGACTTCCTTCAAGTACAATTTTTATTGTTAGATATCGGGAACCTAAGACATTTTCCCTTAGCACCTCTAAAGCTTCTTTCCTTGACAGCACAGTTGACCTGTTTCAATGGCATAAAATTGAAAAGATTTTTGTCCTAAATTAGGTTTCTCTCCTACCATTGTTAACAAGAAACTTGTAACTAGACTTCAAAAGAAACAAAACACCCAAACAATCCTAGCATTGCAGGGTGGGGTGGGGTTTTGAAATTACAAATGGGGAGGTCAGGAGGTCTTCATGTGTCATGACACGTATGTTTGATCTTATACCAAACAGTGTCTCAAAACAGCAATGTTTGAATCAATGTACTACCTACCCTTTTTTAGTACTTGCCTTTTTTTTTGCAGTCCTCAATCTCCCCATTGCTACCTGTACCAAAAAGGGCTTCAGTTCCCTAGACTCTAAGTACTACTGGTAGTACATGCACTCAGGGATTGAGAATTTCAAATAATTACTATTGGTCCCATCCACTGGTGCCTGTGGAGCTCCCATTCTGTGATAGTCTTTGTTCTGTGTCATGATGGTTCAAGGAAGGTGAAGACAAAATGGTACCTGCCCTCCCAGAGCTGTTGATCCTAAAGGGGAAAAACAAGATAAGACTGTAGACATATAGTCCTGAGGGTATGTGCTTGCAGCCCACATTCATGTGGGTATATGAGTGAAATACACACAGAAATCCCAAAGGACTAATATGGTACAATATAAGTAAGATTCAAAATTGAGTTGATATATCAATGGAGATGAGACGTTGGCAACACTAGATTTAGAGTCCATCAATGCCAAACTTGATCTTATAGGAGTAAAATACATAGTTGTTGTTTTAATATGAATGTTAGAATTGATTATTTGATATGAAATTTTGATTTATTTATTTACTTTGGCTCTACCACCAGTAAGATTTATATTTGGGCTGCTTACCTGATTGTGATGTTCCCTCCCCCCTCCTTTTTGGGAAGAGGATATGAATGGCTGCCACTCTTTACAAGGCAAGCCCTAGACTTAACTCTTTGAGGAGTGTTAGTAGCAGAAGTATAAGTAGAAACATACAACCGAGATTCTAAACTGCTGGTCTCAGTAGAGGACCCTCTCTCTCAATTCCCCATTCCTACAAGGAACTCTCCCAATGCCTGGGAGAGTCATGACTGGGGATGGCATAGCTGCTCTCCCTTCCAGGAGGAGAAAAGATGCTGTTGTATGCCTCACCTAATTTGGGATTTTCAGGGGCTCCAAGAAGAGCAATGCCCTCTGCTCTCCAACAAGAAGCAGATAACCATTGTGTGTACCCTGAAAGCATAGGCTGGGCATCGTTCACATGGGCAATTAGTGTTGGCAACCAAGTACTGTGTAAGCAGGCTCCAAACCACAGGTTGGAAGCAGGCTTTAAGATGCCGTTTTGTTTATCCTCTCCTAATGTTGAAAATCACATCTAATTTAAGATACCACTTTTCATCACTCACTCAAGTGTTTACAAATATCACTGTCATTAAAAGTAGCGGGCATACCGGGTTCGGTTCCCGCTAAGGGCATGTACCTCGGTTGCAGTTTGTCCCCGGCCCTGGTTGGTCGTGCAGGTGGCAGCCACTCGATGTGTCCCTTTCACGTCGATGTTTCTCTCTCTCTCTCTCTCTTCCTCTCTCTCCCTCCCACTCTATCTGTGCAAAAAATGGAAAAATGTCCTCGGGTGAGGATAAAAAAAAAAAAAAAAGTAGTGGGCATATTCCTTTGCCACCCCCCCACCCCCACCCCCGTGACGTCTGATCCTGTAGGGTGAGACATGGCTGGAAGAAGCCCAGAGCAGCATCTCTCAGAAGAGCTCTTGCCCTGGTCTAAGGGCAGTGATGAATAAATGCCAAAACTCATGTCCAAGGTGGAGGAATATCTGTCATAGATGGAGGTGTAAGTTTTGTCATGGTCCTTCATAGGTGACAGGTTTGCACTGGATGAATGACTCAGTTTGCACACATCAGCACCATCACTTCAACTCCATTTACATTAGTTGTTGCTGGTACTAGGGCATTATATATGATCATATTTAATCGTTGTATTTTGTGTGCACAGATCAATTTTTATCTCTGTGAAAACAACCACATGTCACAGACCCTAACACCTTTGCTTCTGCGGGGCACCACAAGTGTCCTGGTGGACCCTCCTCACTCTATAACATGATTCCTTGCCAAAGCACGCTCTCCTTTCCTTGGGTTTAAAAGGCTATGAATAATCATTTTAAAATACTGCTCTCAATCTACAAAGCTATCAAGAAGGGTTTCCAATTTCAACCTGGAGAAAAGAAAACATAAATTAAGAATGCGGGAGTCAGAGAACTGGGTAGCTCTGATCCCAGACGGTGTATCTCAGTGGTGTCACGGAACAGACACCGCCTTTGGAATCAGGCAGACACAACTGCTGATCGTTAGTTCGTTATAGACTGTGTATTAACCTCTCTGCGCCTGTTTTCTCCTTTGTTGGAGTCAAGTTTGTTAGACACTTATCGAGCCCTCAGCATTTCTTGCTGGGCTCTGTGACAAACATTGAGTGCATAGCTATAAATAAAACATCCTCATAAAGAGGACAGTCTATCAGGATCAAATGAAATGAAATAATATAATGTCAAAGGTCTATCATAAAGTGGATGTTCAATAAATATCAGGTTCCTTCAAATATATGATCATTATCTAGCTCCACATGGTCATAAGTAAGATAGCTACAGACAATTTCATACCTCCATAGAATTTGTTGGGGGCCTAGACGTTCATGGTATTATGCCTCATGAACCTTAGTTCTACCTATGGTCTTCATTTAATTCCACATAACCGTGGATTTCTATTTACGGTCTTCAATGAATCCATATTTTGGATGGAGTTCAGGGAAGTATATATATATATATTTATCCTTTTAGATGACTTGTGAAGTGAATGAGAACAGGTATTGCCATTGAACCCAATTTACAGTTAAGGGAGCTAATGGAAGCAGATTCTTCTATGCCCCGTTTGTCCCCTAGTCCCAGCCTGCACAGAGGAAGCACGCCATAGGGGCTGTTTACACGTGGACGGTTCCGGGAACTCAGAAAGGAGAGGTACCCAAGGTTAGCAGAGGCTGACTCGGGGTTGCACTGCGACAGCTCAGCTTTTGCCTCCTCCCTCCTCCAGGTGGGTGAGCCATGGGCGACTGGAGTTTCCTGGGGAACATCTTGGAGGAGGTGAACGAGCACTCCACAGTCATCGGCCGGGTCTGGCTCACGGTGCTTTTCATCTTCCGGATCCTCATCCTGGGCACGGCCGCAGAGTTTGTGTGGGGGGACGAGCAGTCCGACTTCGTGTGCAACACCCAGCAGCCGGGCTGCGAGAACGTCTGCTACGACGAGGCCTTCCCCATCTCCCACATCCGCCTGTGGGTGCTGCAGATCATCTTCGTGTCCACGCCGTCGCTGGTGTACGTGGGCCACGCCGTGCACCACGTGCGCATGGAGGAGAAGCGCAAGGAGCAGGAGGCGGAGGAGCTGAGCCCGCAGGCGGTGGGCGAGGGCGGCGAGAGGGGGCCGCTGCCGGCCGACCAAAGCAGCATCAAGAAGAGCAGCAGCAGCGGCAAAGGCACCAAGAAGTTCCGGCTGGAGGGGACCCTGCTGAGGACCTATATCTGCCACATCATCTTCAAGACCCTTTTCGAGGTGGGCTTCGTCGTGGGCCACTACTTTCTGTACGGCTTCCGGATCCCGCCCCTCTACCGCTGCAGCCGCTGGCCCTGCCCCAACGTGGTGGACTGCTTCGTGTCCCGGCCCACGGAGAAAACCATCTTCATCCTGTTCATGCTGTCTGTGGCCTCTGTCTCCCTCTTCCTCAACATGCTGGAGATGAGCCACCTGGGCCTGAAGAGGCTCCGGTCTACCTTCAAGAGGCCCGCGGAGCAGCCACTGGGGGAGATTCCTGAGAAGTCCCTGCACTCCATCGCTGTGTCCTCCATCCAGAAAGCCAAGGGCTACCAGCTGCTCGAAGAAGAGAAAATCGTGTCCCACTATTTCCCTTTGACAGAGGTCGGCATGGTGGAGACCGGCTCACTTTCTGCCAAGCCTTTCAGTCACTTCGAGGAGAAGATGGGGCCAGGGCGTCTAGGGGACCTGTCCGGGGCTTACCAAGAGACGCTGCCTTCTTACGCTCAGGTGGGCGCGCAGGAATTGGAGGGGGACGAGCAACCAGGGAAGGAAAGGGTAGAACCCAAGGCGGTTGAGAAGGGGCAGGAAGCAGAGAGAGTGAGCACAGAAGGGCAGGAGACCGCAGCAGTGCTGGAGGGGGAGAAAGGAGACACCTCCACAGTGGGAAAGGAGGGGGAGAAAGAGCTGCAGGCTGAGAAGGTGTCCAAACAAAGGCTGCCTGCTGAGACGGCACCTTCCCTGTGTCCAGAGCTGAGTGGGGATGACACCAGACCCCTAAGCAGGCTGAGCAAAGCCAGCAGCAGGGCCAGGTCAGACGATCTAACCATATGAGGCGGTGCCAAAGAAAGAAAGAAAACACCTGAGCTAACCTATAGGGCACGGTGAAAGGAAAAGATGCCAACATGATTTGAGTCTTTTGTCCCTCCCCTCACATCCACCCCTGGTTAGACAGGCACGCACGGAACAAGCTGTTTTCCCCGTATATGAGGGCTACCAAAACAAACCCATTGTCCCATCAAAGTTCCCAGTCTCATGTGACTGCCCTAACCCTCTACCCCAACAGCTGTGGGACTCTACTTTGGTCCCCGTTTCTCCATAGAAATCCTTCTGATCAGAGTTGCAATTGCCTCATAGCTTTTTACTAGTGTTATCTCAAGCTCACCGACTCCGTCAGACTGTCACCTCAGTCCTTCCTTAACAGACACCATGTGACCCTGTATCGGGGGTCCCAAATGCAAACACCTACAGGATTCAGGCAGGTGATTTCAGTTGGTAAGGTGGGCCTGTTCTCATGCCACGCACGAGCTAGGGCTGTGGAAATTGGAGGGCAGAGGGCAGCTGCTGCTCTGTTGCAGGCAGTGGCTACCAAGGCAGCAATTTTTCAAGAGAAGCCAGAAATGCAAACATTCAGGTGAAATTTCCAGTATTTTTAATGTTGCCAACTGAATTTTAAATCCGCCACGTGGGCCAAACAAAACGTGTGTAAGCCACATTGAACCTGTTGGGCACCAATTTGCAAGGTCAGCTTACACTAGCGAGCCCAGCTTTCCTACAGTATCGGTCATATTCTTTATGGTTTCAACTTGTTTCTGTGGGTTCTGAACCCCTTTGCACCATTTTGGAGTGTTCACTTGAAATCATCAGTCCAAGAGATGCCCAGAGTTCTCACTGTTCTTTCTCGAGTCACTGCAGTCTCTGGTTTCTGACACAATTATATCCCTCTTACTATTTGGAATTCTGCCCTGGGCACCATCAGAGAAAGAAAGCAAGACCCCAAACCTTCTCCCTGTGAACTAAAAAGGCTCTGAGGCCTGGTAGTAGTTTTCTTCCCTGAAACAAAGAAGGCCCTTTTCTTTCATTTTCTCTTCCAACATCAGTGTTCAGTCTAAAATATACACCTGTTTTCATCAGAACGGGGAGCAAGCCCAGCTTTGAGCCCGAGGATACCTGCCCATGGACCTGCCTTAAGGAGAGTCAGCTCCCAGGCACAACAAGGCCCTCAGAGTGGCACTAGGGAGAGCCTCTTATGAAGTGTTAAGTCCAAACAGCCAGGGTCCCAAAATTCAGTTCCAGGCCAGCCTTCATTCCTGGAAGGGATGTAGACTGGAGGGAACAAGAGGGTTCTCTAAGGTCTCCTATACTGCATCCCCACAACCCATCGCCCTCAAGCATCGAGTTCAGTCAGGGTAAATCCTCAGGGACAAATTTCACACAAGGAGCAATTTTACCTAGAGCCCATCAACGCTCAGAGCAGAGGGAGAAAGTCAGTGGTCACCAAGATGGTTCATCTAAACCAAAGTCATGCTTCATTCCTGGTAGCACCAAGGCTAAGGCTGGAGGGATAGAAACCAAATTGACATGGCAGAGATCTAAACTGGAGACCATCAGGGAACCCACAAAAGGTAACTAGAAAAACTGCCTTCATTCTGTCTTCCCCACAACAAACACCATCCTAAAGTATGCAGATCTCTTGTACGTCCCTCTGGTTACCACCTTCCTTTTAAGATATCCATTCCGGAGTGAAGCCTCCTCTAAAACCACTTCTTCCCTATGACAATATTCCCATTTCTTGGTGCCTCATTCTAAAGCAGAGGGATCTAAAAATTAAATGTATTCTAAGATTTGATTGTTTGATAATTACTCCCGGGAAAATTTACATTTTAAAGAGAAAGCCTAAAATATATTTTACTGGTTCATCCAAGGTGATTAACTTTCAGTGAAGGAATGTATCAGGCAGTGACTAGAACAGAGATATTTATCTTATAGACATGTGACTTTCTAGCTACTGCTTCAGTCTTCCCCTTGTAGCCAACACTATTCCATACCTTCCTCTGTATGGTGAGAGAAGTAACAAATTCCCAGACTTGAGAACCAGATAGTGCATCATGGACCCCCCAATGGCTCGTATAGTTTTGCTCTTAAAGACCAATTTTAAGAAAACATAAACTCAGAGCCTGAGAACAGCTTGATCCTTACCAGGATAAAGTGTCTAACTCAACTAGGATCTAATTCATTATAAGTGGAAACTGCTGATGCTGTTTAGAAGCAGTTGTAGGGGTATAGGTGACAGTTGCCGGTCTCCTCTCTGCTGGGCTACAAGTGTGTGGGTGAGTGTATTTCCTTGGATGAACCAACATCCTGCTTCACTCTCTCTTCCTACCCCGCCACTGTGGAAGTTGACATTTTCCCTTAGTCTTCCCAACAAAAGAGGGAGCCTATTTTGCAAGGAACAGACACAGGTATGAAGGGACCAGGATTTTTTTTTTTCTACTTCTGCCATGTAGGAGCTGTATTATTATCAACCCTTAACCTCTCCGTACCTCACTTTTCTCTCTACAAACTAGAGATAGCATTTACTACCTAAAGAGTTGGCTGCCAAGCCTGGAGCCTGCTGAGAGGTACCACTTTCGAAGAGGTTCCCCAATGGCAGGGAGACTGGGAAGAAGGGCAGGTGGATGCTTTCCCTCCAACCCCCACCCCCCCATCTGCCTTGCAGTTACCTGGTGAGAGTTTTTCAGTGTGGAATAGACACACCGGAGATCAGTTTCCTTAGAGAAGATGCAAAACAGAATCTTGACATGATATGGTTAGTAGGAACCTGAGATTCTCTGACCTTGAGAAATGTCTGGGGACGGACTGGTGAGTACTTTCATCCTCTGAATAAAGTCCCTTCATGCCCCATCTTAAGCTGCCACACAACTGCTGCCAGCTCCCATTCACGGGCAGCTCTGGGTCCAGGGAGGCCCTTGCTCTCTCTACGCAGCTGGAACTCTCAGTGTCTGTTTTGAGGCAAATAATTATGACTGACTCAGGATTATAATCCCCCAGAATCCATTAGTTCCAGCTTTTGATCCTACCCCTTGTCCTTCCCTTGTTATAATAACCCTTTAGAGCACATGGACCTACCAATAAAAAGTATTGGACAGCAGGACATAAAAAATGCCACTCCCTCCAGAGGAAACGGGCTAATTGATTAGTAGCAGTTATAACACCTCCATCAGGGGAGATCTGTGACCAGGAGAGAGAGAGAGTTACTCAGAGTTCAGTTAGAAAGTTTCAAGCCTGGAGCTGTAATGCCCGAGCCTCACATTTGGGGCATTATAAAAAGGCCTATCTGCTTTTCACCATGACTGTGTCACTTGTCACACAGGTGAAGCATCCAACACAGAACGAGGCAAATGAATATTCCTGAAGGTCAGTGAGTCCTGGGGAATCACATTTTCCCATAAAGAGCAATGAAGTGCAAGTCAGAAGTGTTGACTGTTCCTTACTGAATCTGGGGACCCCAAGATTTCACATACCTGTTCCATATGACAATTTTCCCTCAGTCTATTGAGGGTAACAAGTTTTCCCTCTCCTTCACAAGATAGATCAAGTTAATTAATAATACCCAGGAAACACTATGAGCAGACAAGAAATAAGTGAGTTTTCTTTAACTCACTAATTTGGAAATAAAAGGAAAGGGAGGAGGGACTTATCCAAATTGGTCAGAAGTCCTTCTTATAAAATGTGTACTGAAACAATGACATTCACCACTTTCAAATACTCAGATTGTTGACTAAGATACTGATAAAAAGTGGACCAGTAAGAAAAGTGAAGGAAGTAGATGAGGGGGAGAAAGGTAAACATTTCTGTAGTCCTGAATTCCTAGGAATTATACTACAAAAAATGAACATCTTTGATCATGCAGAATTTCATCGCTGAAGGTGGTGCTGCAGGTACTCAGCTTACTAGGGTTCATGTACAGAGATGTACCAGCCCCTGAAATAGTCTCTGACTCCTGGCAAAAGGGAGTCAGTCCAAGGATCCTGGAAGAAATGCATGCAGAACTCTTCAGGCCAAGTCGTGGAAGGCTGGGGCAGGGCTGCTACAGACACTACTCTTTATGAGTTCCTGAGGAGGATCACTGGGGCATGCTTGGGGTAGAATGAGTGTACCACCCACACGGCATCTCATCCTGCTCCCCCTACCTGTTTCTCTCTCCTTTCCCTGACCCTGAATTATCCCTCTGTGCCTGTTGTATGCAAATGATCACACAACCCATTAGCAAAGTTTAGATGAAAAGGGTTTGCCTGGTTGGATGGAAACTCCTGCGAGCATAAATGCAATCTATAAAACAAAGTAAGTGTGTGCCTAGATGTAATAGTGAAATAGTTGGGGAAAATTTCCCTTCTTGTAATTATTGTATTATAACTAAATATGTAATTGGGAAGGAAGGAGAAAAGGGAAACAAATTCTAGGTTCAGTAGTTAGATAAGAGGAAAGAAAGATTTTTACAAAAGACAAGGCACTCTCTGCTGCCCTAGACATTATAGCTCCCAAAGCTGGGAAACAGTGGTGTCCCACTGTGGCAGTGACCACCAGGTAGCAGTGGGATGTATTGTAGGCTCACGCCCTACTGTCTTCCAGAAGTTCTCCAGGGCAGACAGAGAGAATTCTGGAAGAATTCATAAAGTTTCCTGGAGGGAAAAATAAATAGCTCCATTGCCTTTTTCTGAAAACATTTTCATCTATAAAATAGGATTAGTAAAGACTCAGGCAAGAAACACATTCATAACAAACTTCCTGGGGAAATCGCTGGCGAAGGAGAGAGCCATTATTGGGATTGTGTCCTGGGTTCTCCAGTCTTCTACATCTTTATGTCAGAGCTAATAGTCACATGTTAGATTGTTACAAAACAAATAAAACTAACTTGACTTTTCACCATCTTTGTGTTTCTTTTGACCTGTCAGCCAAGCTAGACTATGAAGAATCTGCCCCACATTCAGGTTATTCTTCCTTTGAAATTAAGGACTTGGAGAACAAGAGGACTGGGATATGGTGAGGGAGGCAGTAATATGCTGGTAAACATTTAACAACCGGCTCTCTCCACAGTAAAGAGGCTCCAGTAGCGTTTGCCAATTTCCTTGGTGTAAATTCTCTCGCCATCACCAATTTCAAGCTACCAACATA